TACAGAAAGAAAAAACATAAAAGCTGGAGTTCGGTACAACTGTAGCGCTACGCTGTAGCGCGACGCTGTAGCGCTACGCTGTAGCGCGACGCTGTAGCGCTACAAGTCTGAACGCTGCCTTAAGAAAGGCCGCGCCTATCGCCGCGCGCGATGAGCGGCAAATGACGAGTCTCTTGCCCTTCTCCCGCTCATTTGTACCACTTTTTCACAGGATTTTACATGTGAGTTAAGGTAAAGTAGCAAAAGGAGCTGGCGAAAGTTCAAACTCCTTTTTCACTCTAAGCCGAACGGCGCCCGAATGAGAGATTTTTGGATTTTTTGAAATGAATATTCTAGAGATTACTTGTTTTTGAACATTCAGACCACCATGAGGCCCCGCAGCAGCACAATAGTCAGACCAGGACACGTCGTGGTGTGGGAAAATATTTGCCATCCCCCTCTCCCTTCAGAACTTCATCCTGCGGTACTACCCCTCCCCCTTCACCGACCCTATGCGACCCCCACACGTGCTAGGGATTTTCAACGCATGATGTGCCTGGTTCAGAAGCTATTTTGCTGGCTAAATAATCCAGAAGTCAGCCGTTATCCTAAAAATAACATCCCAACGGTTGGATCAAATAAATGCTCCGTCTCACATGATGAGACGAAGCTCTCATTTGATCCTCCAGCAATTCCCCATAACTTTGGAATGTATACGTAGTTGAGTTCGTCCTAGCAATGCAAATACTTCAGTGTGGGAATTACATTTCCTTTTTATAGTCGTGCTCAATCGGAATGCGTTCCCGCATTCATTCTCTGAAGGGGTGGTCCCAATCACGTAACACTTTCCTATTCTCTTCGTTTTTCTTTGTAAAGTAATCGCTGACTGAATTACGGAATCTACCAGTTAAACACTAACTGTAAAGCGGTTAGGTTCTCATGAATGGGCAGAAACTAGAGGGTTTTCGAATGGAAATAGGGCAAAATTCGTAATGCTCAGCGATCACTTTGGAATGCGCCATGTAATCATTTTCCATCTGAATTCTTGAAGGTACATCCCTACGCCTTACCTCTATACGATTGCCTTTCTGAACAACTCGGATATCTATGAGTTATTTAAAAAAACCTGTGATGTTTTGAATGCTCATTTTTTCATCGATCAGGACACGTCCTACCATTGGGGAAAGTTTGCAAAATATGACCCCCGCTCAAAATTTCCTTCTCGAATACGCCCACCCTTTTCCCCATCTTCCCTACTACAAACATTCTCACAGAGAGCAACTAGGCCCCTATATTTAGCGAACAAAATACGAGCTCCCCGGGGATCTCAACGTTCAGGTGCCCTGTCATCAATTCATCGTACTTTCTC